CCAGTGCCAAAGCAAAAACCACCCAAAAAAAAAAAAAAAAAGAAAAAAAAAAGAGGCTTAGGAGACCTGTGAACCAATTGCATTGTATAGGACTCACTTGGAAACCTAATGCAACAAGCTGCTTTTCTTTTTAAAAGAATTATTCCATTTAACTTTTTACTTATTTTAATTTGACCAGAGAGAAGCAGAGCGAGAAAGAGAGAGAGAAAGTGAGAAAGCAAGTCACCAAGTCCAGGACTCAAACCATGGTCAGACATATGTATGTCTATTGCCCTTAACCACCACATCACCTGCTGGCCCCCTGCTTTTCGTTTTTAAAGACAATCAGAGAGGCCGGCAGGCAGTGTGATGGTTAAAGTACTGGACTCCCACGTAGCCGACTGTGGTTTGAATCCCAAACCTGGCAGTCCTCCTTCTCACTCTCCCTCTCTCTCTGTCTCTATTTGGTCAAATTGAAGAATAATAATAAATAAGTAAAACTAAATTAAATAATTTTGTAGAAGAAAAGGCAATCAGAAATGTGTGAATACAACTGAATATTTGATGATAATAAGGAATTATTAATTTTTTAGGTATGCTATTGACATTATTATTTTTTAAGTTCCTAGAGACACATATTAAAATATTTACCGGGATTATTACCAGAGAGACAGAGAGACAGAGAAACAAAGAGACAGATTCTATTATCAGGATTTTGGGCATGCCCGGTCTGGGACTTGAACCACGGTTGACTATGTAGATGTCCACTGACATAACCATTAAGTCATCTACTGGTCCCTACTGGGATTTGCTTTAAAATAGGAGCCAGGGGGTGGGAGTGTGAATAAAACCAGACTGGCCTTGTGTTGATCTTCGTTGAAGCTGGGCGATGATTATATGAGGGTTAATTATGCTTTTCTCCTTTTTATTGTTTTAATTTTTGTATAATAAACATGTTTTTAAATTAGACGTAGTGTTAAGGTGGGAGGACAAATGACCTGTTTGCTAAAACAAGCAATCCAGCAAACTTTCTCAGGGCGCAATTGGAGCCGGCTGAGAACTGACGCAGTCATTAAACCTGTGAGTGGGCGGGAAGTAAATAAACAGAGTCTGTTGATTAGTCTTGGTGGATTTGGGGGGGAATCACCCAATCTCATTAAGTCTCAATTTCCTCATCTGTAAAATGGGCATCACGTAATGACCTTTTCCAAGAAGTCCTGAGGCTTGTTATAGTAAATTAAAATGGGGGCCAGCAAGGGGTGCAGTGGTTATGGAACTGGACTTCCACATGGTAGACTGCAGTTTGAGTCCTTGACCTGCTGGCTTGAAAATCACACTGGGTAGGCCGGTAGGTGGTGTGGTGGTTATGGCTGCTGGACCCCCACGTGGCTGACTGTGGTTCGAGTCCCAAATATGGCGGCTTGCTTTGTCACTTTCTCTCTCTCTCGCTCGCTTTCTCCCTCTCTGGACAAATCAAAACAAACAACTAAATAAATAAAGTTAAATAATAAAAATTAAAAAAAAGAAAGAAAAGAAAATCATTCCAGGTATATGTGTGTATGTACCCCAAAATCTCAGGAAGAGAATGGAGGTGAAGGGATTGCTGTGTAGCCATCCATCCTGGAGGGTAAATTTTTGCTTTCCCCCTACTACCTATCTCTGTCTCTCTCTGGGGAGCATATGTGCCCTACAGCAAAAATCTTAAAAAAAAAAAAAAAAGTAAATTAAAATAGAGACCAGGCCTGATGGATCCCTGAGCAGACAAAGCAGTCAGGCAGGCCTCATAAGTAACCTTAACCTCGCTTGATTTGGAAACATACGCAAAATGTGATTTCAGCTCTTTCTTGTAAATGTATTTATTCAAACAAACTTAAACTCAACTAATCAGAAAGAGCCAATGAATGTATAAATATATATCCATAGCTATAGATAAAGCTGAGAGATTTCTAGTAGGACAGACCCAATAAGGCAACTTTATAAGTGACACCAATCAAATATTTTCTTCTATGACTTCTGTGTTCACACTATCAAAAACTTATCCTGTACACTGCTTTAACGAAGCTCCCAAACCACTTCTGGTTTGGAGCTGCCTGATTCATGAATTATGCTTCACTCAAATAAACCTTAAAATTTTTTATCGTGTCTCAGTTCATCTTTACTTAACAGTCTTAAATGAGAGAAGTGTGTACCAAAACATTTCTGAACCTCATAAAATGCTACTCAAGTGCTAGGAGTTATTTGCCGGATGACACCGCCTCATTCCTTCACACGTGCGGCCCTAAACATTGACGGGATGCCTACGGCCAGATGCTGTGTCAGGTATCGCAAATACAAAGAGGAAGAGGCCTTTGGCCCCACTTGGTCTAATTCAGTGCTTCTCAACTCTGGATACTCATTTATAAACTGCTGGGGCCTGACTCTCAGGAGTGGCTTCTTGTTGTGTTCCCAAAGAGTCTATAGAGAGAGAAACAGTTGAAATGACTAAGGAAAAAGAAAGTCTTCTTTAAAACAGCAGAGCTTCTGGAGAGACAAAATGAAATACCCCTGTGAAAGCAGAGTCCCAGATGTCCGTCTCCAGACCAACCAAGTCAAAATCTCTGGCCATGGGTCCTGAGCATAAGCAGTTTAAAACAGATCTTCATGGGTGACTGATTCTACTGCTTAGCCAGGGCTGAGACCTGTACATTTCATTGATCTTTGATCCACGAGTAGGTCTGAGGCAATCATTAAGATGACTGGGTGGGACCAGCAGATGGCGTAATGCTTATGTCTATGGACTCCCACATAGCTGACCGTGGTCCGAGTCCTGAACCTGGCAGCTTAAAACACGCCGAGCATGTGTATTCGTGCGCATGCATGCCCAAAATCCCAAGAAGAGAATGGAGAAGAAGGGATTATAGCATGGCCATCTACCTTGGGGGGTGATTTCTCACTTCCTGTCTCTGTCTCTCTGGTGAGTGCATGCACCCTATAGCAAAAATCTCAAAAAAAAAAAAAAAAAAAAAGGCTAGGTCTTGG